AAAAAAAAAAAAAAAAAAAAAAAAGACAAATCCAAACAAATCAAAATAGTTCTACATATAGATGTAGTTAGTACAATTGATTAAACTGTTCTTGTTCCTTTGCTGTCAGTTAAAATGTTTTTCTGCTTGGAGTTAAATAGCAGGTGCTACGTTGATACCTACATCTTTGTCTTGTTTAAGTGATGCACATATTTATTGTAGTTTTCTGTTGTAAGATCGTTTGGAAATAAAGAGCAGGCTTTAAACCTCTTTTGTTTCTTAACCAGAATTAATTGAATTACTTTCTGTTCTGATTTAATATATAGCACCATCTAGTGGTGAAGAGCTAACTTTTTATACCTGAACCAACATACGGCATACACATGTATGTACTGGACTGAATTTGCAAAACGTTGTTTATTGGTTTTACCTATCAGCTTTGCCAAATGAGACCTAAATTCAGTGCGAGATCACAGCAACTGAAGTCTACGCAGGCTGGCACTTCCAGAGTGTTATTACTGCACATTTTAAAATTGTCAAAATAAATAGTTGCACAAATTGCGCATATATATTGTGTGGTGCTCTCAACATAAACGTTCTCTTGCAATGTTTGATAGAAACTATTTCAACTAATGTTAGTAAGATTTCACAAAATTATGTTGATTTAATAATACGACAGCATAAAGGCCACTTGAAGTATATAACTGGGAGTTTCTCCCTGATCTACCATTATATTTCTAATATGAGTGTAGGACAAACCAGTGATCAGAAACAGAGGGTTGGGTGTCTTTGGATCAAGTACAGTATCACATTAATAGCTCTGACCTTCTGGAAGGCAGGGTATTTTATATTTTCATGGAGAAAGTTAGCAAACATTTAAAACAGTCAACTATCCTTCAGGTCTGATTCTAACCTCATGGTAATTTAGGATGTGTATTAGCAAGAAACTTAGGTTTCTATTATGAATGCATTAAACATCTGGGTAGTCTCATTGGCTTCAATAGGACTTCTCATTAGCTCAAAGTTAAATGTGCTTAAGTACATTTCCAAATATGAGACTTTTTCTGAAAACAGGTAACCCTGTTTAATTTAGCTACTCTAGATTTATAGTGATGTGAGAGCACTTACCCTAATGCAGAACTTGTCAGTACTATCAGTGGAATTTTTAATGTAGATTTGAGAAACAATGGGGTATATTTTATTTGGGAGAAATATTTTTAAAAACAATTTAAATTCTTTTCTTCCTAATTTTTTAATTCTTTTTGGGCTTCTTAGGAACTGTAAGATACAATGCTGATAATACATGGCAGGCTCTGGTTGCCATTGTGCTTTCTAATTTAAAATTGATTTATGCTTGCTAACTTTCATTCAGTTTCATGTTTTTGTAAATTTAATTTAGCTTAGTATTTAAATGAGAGAAAATATCAGAACCGAGTTGTCAGGAATTATTTCAAACTTTACATCCTGCGCATAATTATCATAGGCCAAGTACACATGAGACTAAATCATGCTACCTATCGCACGTATGCCTGTGGCCAGTAGTGCATACTTCGTCACAATGCTAGAGTAAATCACTGTCTTAGAGTTAGGTGTGAGTAGATAACTGAATTCACCAAACAGGTAGGTTTCTTGACTCCATTACCTGGGGAGTTATGCTATTCTATAAAACTATAAAGTGCAAGGAAGCCCTATAATAAATTTTCCACTGATGGTAGCCTGAAGGATTACATTTCTATAATGCATAGCTACAATTTAAGCACATGTTTGTTTTTTTTTGTATTGTTTAAGGAAAAGAGATGACATTAACCTTGGTTCTGGAATTTTTTTTCTTTCCCCCTTGATAGTCTTCGCAATCGCACTGGCTGACCACAGAGGAAAGGAATCAAGTTTTACTTGACCTCAAATCTTCAGGATGGTCTGAGTTAGGTGAAAGAGATGCCATCTACAAAGAGTTCAATTTCAAAAATTTTAATCAGGTAACTATTCAAAGGTAAATTGATTGTTTTGCTTTGCATTATGATCTTAGTGGGAAAATATTCATATCCACAAATTTGGGAGTGTTTGCTTGAAGAAAAATCCTTTATCAATAGGAATAGTTTAGATGAAGATTATCGCCACTGCCTATTTTATTTCCCCTTTCCCAGGGGAGGGGGATATTTTTGCAAAAGTGACTTGTTTCTAGCAAGGTGCTCTTTTTCTTCTCCGCCACAATGCCGGAGGATGCTGGGTTGTGCCTACTGGACTTGTAGCATAAGGTATCTATTTATGTTTGTTGACAGTAACTTTGAAGGGCTGCCTAGCATGCTGTTTAGTTCTGTGGCTATGGTATAATCCCGACAAGTCTGTAGGGGACCTTGGTGGTGAAATGTGACAATGATGGTGTGCAGTGCTAGCAAACTTTTTGTTCTGTTTCAAATACATTATTTGTCATAAAGGGGACATAAAGGAAATCGGCAGCATCATTCCATGTCATACAGAACAGGTATAGCAGCACTGCCGTAAGGGTGCGTGCGTGAAGACACGATTCCATTTTTCCTGAGTTGCACTTTCAGTCTGAAAGTTAATAATGGAGCAAAACAGCTTCAGATCAAGCAAACTATGGGGCAACAAAGGAGGGAAAAAAACCAGGCCAGAGTGCATGTGAGACCTAGATGAGCTTCAGGGGAAGGGTGGGAGAATTAGAGAGCCAAAGGCAATGAGACATCGGCTCGGGGGCAAGCTGTGCTGCAAGTTTCGAGGTCTGAGTATTCGTGTTTGGAGCATTTCAGACCCCAGTGTAATTAGAGAGCCTGTTGGCTGAGCACAAGTGGGAGTGCTTTTATTAAAGTTAGTATAAAATAGCCTTTGTAGACTGTAAGTAAGTTTAAATAAATCATTTGAATCAGACAGCTTTAAGGAACAGACCTGAAAAAATATGGACCAGAGAGACTGGAACACACACAGTCCAGCAACAGAAATCTGGAAAATCCACCCTATTAGATCAGTGAAGGATACCAGGAGGGATTAAATTATAGACTTTTTTTATAGGATTTATCCTCAGAATGTTACAGGGTAAAAATTAGCTATTCATAAAGCTGCAATTTGGAGAAATGAACGAACCAGGGTGCGGAGTCAGAATATGTATGTTATAGAGTACATTAAGCCTAAGACTGGGAGCAGTGTGGAGCAGAATATCTTGTTAGGTGCCCCTTCCTATGTATCATCTTAAATATGGTCCTTTTTTGGAGTCAACTGCTCCAGGTGGCTGGAAGGGGTTGGTTGGAGTTCTTGCCATTTTTGTAGTCCTTACAAGTATTAGGTCTGTATAAAACTGAATGCTGTTACCGTTGCGAGAAGGGCTGAAAATTGACTTCAGGATTCAGAACTTCCAGGTGGTGGCACATGGCACTTTCAGCTATGCCTTCCACTGAAGAAACACACAGGGGCCAAATTCTTTCTCCAGCTCTTATTGCAGTTTGGGGGGTTATGTGCATGTATCTGAGAGCTGAATTTCACCCATGAACATCTAAAAAAAAAAAAAAATTGAGGCAGCTGCAGGGTACAACACCTTCCATTTGAAATTCCAAACTGGAGAAACTGGTGATCTCCCAGCCATGGGGAATGACTTAGTGTGGGATTTCTGGCTAGAACACGCATGAATGTTTGCAGCTGGATTTAGAGAGCAAATGTTTATCTCCTGGGAAGCTGGTACAGAGGGCAAATTAAAAGTGTACCTGTTAGTTCATCTACTAGTCCAGCACCTATATTTACTAATGTCCTCATGCAGTACTTAGCAGGACTTCTCTAAAGCACTAAATACATATCACAGCTCTGGGAAACAAAGTGCTAAAATGGAGCTATATGGCTGCTTTGTAGTATGAGAGTTTTTCAGGCCTTTAATAAAAATGGACTTCTAGGTACAAGTTCTTTTATTTCTTGTAATAAATCTTCTGTTTACAGTACTTAAAGTATGAGTATTTAGTAAAAGTCAGAGAGCCGAGAAATATAATTTCCTCAGTGATCTTCATCTTGCCCTTTTACAGATGGCATAAAATCAGGTGTGTAAAAAATCAAGTAGTTGAGCTGACATGAAAGGTATTTCAGATTTATGTTTTGCAGATGATATTGGTATGATTAATATATTCATTGCCTTTTTTATTGCTTCTCACAGATAATGCGCACGATGCATGGAAAATTCTGTGGCTTTAAAATCTCTGCCAGGTTTACAAAGTCTATGTATGTCAACAGATGTTAAAAATATAAACACAACTTTTATTATAAAGTCGTGCAAATGTGTAGACATGAACTTGGTTTATGTATATTATTTTCAGCATGAGCATGAAATGAAACTTCTGTGAAATGAGAGTTATTTAGATTCCTGAAGCTTTCAGACTGAGATTAACTTGGTTAAAAGCTATCAGAAATAGGCTGCCTTTTAAGTCACTGACAAACTAATGACACTTCTGGCTTGTAGAATTCTTTTATAACACCAGGCTTCATTTTAAACCCTCTATGGTGTTTGTTATTTTGAAGTTAAATTTTCTAAAAATGGGCCTTTGGGGTCCCCCCCCCAAAATCAGTGGAAAAACGCTAGAAATATTCATAAAGTATGCTAATGAACATACTTTCTTTTGCCAACTATTTTTTCTTTTGTAGTTGCTCAATGCACCCTCAATGTCCATATCCTGGTTTGGACAGTGTTGATGTTCATAGTGTTCTAGACTTCTTCATCCAATCCTGAAGGAAAAGCACGTAATGTCCAGCACGGCTTGTTCCTCAGTCCTCAGCTGAGTAACAGCTTTATCTTAAATATCAGTTGCTCACCGTGCCTTTGATTGTGTTCACTTACTGCCCAGGTTATAAAAAAAACACCAGCCAGATGCAGACAGCCACATTTTCTTCTTTAGTCTCTAGGGTGATGGTGAGATGCTTTAAAAGTCCCTTTTTTAAAGACTTTCCTGGACCCCACGCCTCAATATAGCTGCTCTAAAATGGTGATTGTGCTCTATCACCAGCACCTTTCAATTAATCCTTGGTTGTAACACTCACCAAACAAATACTATAATGAAATTTCGGTTCTATATGTCTGCGCTGCCACCTAACCTAGAATTTGTGAGCTTCTGTCTTCAGATATGCAGGCCTCTGTGTGCTGAGTTGAAGGACTCCACTAAATTAGTCAGTACAAGAAATTGAGACCACATTTTGCTATGCGTTGTCCAGTCACAGGCAAAGATGTCCCTCTCTGGAGAGCTGGAACCTCAAAACCTGACTCCTACCACTTTCATCCCCATGCACAAATCCTTCTACCACACTGAGATCCTTCTCAACCTTTTTGGGGGATCCTTCCTAGTGAAAGGTTCTGACTCTGGGACTGAAGCATAAGAAATTTTAGTACCAAACTATTTAACAGTGACTCTCAAAGTCCTGTAACAGCTCTAGAAGCAGATTGCCCACCATGTGCCCTCACATGAATGAAGTAACAGCAGCAGTGCAGCCTGCTGCACTGTTTCTTACTGGGTTCACAGATATATTTTCTACAAATAAAGTTCTTTGTTAGCTGACAAGACAACAAACCCAAGGTTGTGACTCCTTGTCTGCCTGTGGCATCCCTCTGTTCTACCTGTGTCCTCTTTGCGTGAATTGACAGGGTACAGATGGTAGTAAGAACCTTACCTAAGAGGGGTGAACGGAGGCTTATTAGAAAGATGAATAAGGAAGAAATGAAGTCATGTGGCTTTCAATGCATTCTGTATTAGGAAGAGAGAGTGTGGCTCAAAACCTGTTAATGAGTCAGAAATTTCTGTGCAACAGATACCAAAACAAAATGTTCCTTGCTCACGTATAGAGCAGCCAACCTGTTTCCACTCGCCAAAGCAAAACCTGGAGGTGAAGAGAGTTATGGAAGTAGGCTCAATGATGCAGGGGCTGAGTAGTGATGTTAGTTAATATACATTTTCATTTGCAGAAATTTCTGGCAAGAATTTTGAAAAGTTGGTGGTCTAGAGAAGGTAATATCTGCCAGTTCTCTTGGAATTCCTGTCCTCTGAAGTGTTTGAGGAACTAATCGCACAAAACAGTGGTCACATAACTGCAGTCTTCCTGAGAAATATGTAACCTACTGTTTCTGTGAACAACATCTAGAATTAGTAAGAATTAAAAGAGACTTGAGGGGATATGTTTAGGTTTGTTTTGTGTACAGCCATTTTCACTCATTTCTTGTTTATTTGGTATATTTCCTTCTTTTTTGTGGTTTCACTGAATAGCAAAATCGGGGTGGGAGGGAGGTGAGATTTAGAAGGATGTGGTTGAAAATCACCAGGGTTGTCATGGCCACTCTGGTGTCAGGTTTAATGCTTATAGCTACTTTTTTTTATTCTCATTTTTAAAATTTCTTTCTATTTTAATTTCAAGATGATGGTGTTCCTTAAACTTGATAGGACAGTTTTTAATCCAGCATATTGTTTCTGCAGAGGTGAAGTATATGCTTCTGCTCATAAGAAGACTGACAATAGATTTATGTGCTTTACAAGAGGCTTTTTTTTAATAATCATGTCTTAAATACAGAGCGCTCTATTTAAAAAACAATTAAGTCTGATGGAGAAGACATGCCTAACAGCACTTTGGGGCTCATGGATAGCAAGCAAAGTAGCAAATTTGTTTTGCTGATAGTGCAAAATCTTGTCTTTTTGAGCAGTTGTTTAAAGGAGACTTGCAGAGCTTCTGAAGAGTTATTTCATAGGAAATTAAATCATTCAAGTTCTTTCACTGCATTTTTCTATTTGCCAACTCTCCTCCTCCAGACCTGTAATAACATGACAAAAAACTCAGAGAGTGTCTACTGGAGCAGACTGTTTTCTCGGTTACATATGTCCCATATGAATTTCCAGTTACTTTGCTTTAGCTATGGTACAACATATTCACTTTAGTCTTTTATAACTGATTGTCCCTGTTATACATGGAGTACCAGTGGCTTATATATCAAAACTAACTTACTAGGATTTGTGGTGAATGGTCTTTATTTGTTTTAATCTTCTTACTTGGTGACAATCCCTTGGCATGAATCCTTTTTTGTAGGTACATTCACCTTGATTAATGACCATGAAGAACTTCACAAACTTTTCAAATCCCTTGAAACTGGGATAGGTGGGACATACTCTTTGTGAATTAGTGCTGTTTTGGTTGTTGCAGTCACTTCAGCTTAGTTTAACTCATTGCATAGCAGGGCCAAATGCTCCTGAACTTAATTCGTGTCAATGCTTCCTTCCCCCCCAACAATTTCTCGGCACATCATTTTGTCTTCTGTATTGATCAAAGGTTGGGAAATTTGTTTTTATGTTCATTGCCAGAGTCTTTCATAGCTGTTTTACGTACTTAATCTTTTGGCTGTTTGGCTGAAATACGTCCACGCCTTTTATGTATTGAAAACATAATATCCTTTAACTTACAATCTGTAGGGTTAAAATTAATTTTACGTAAAATATTCAGTTGTGGACCACATCTCCA